CTCGATTGTTTCAAGCACGGGTTGGACAAGTATATGAGTGGGATTGGGTGGTTATAGAATAGGAGCTGCCTCGTATGGGCCAATAGGCCTTCTGCAGTTACCTTTGTTCTTATGTTTCGTGTTCTGTCTATGTTGATACTTAATACTCCATTAATATCCCCCTTTGTTATGTACATTCATCCACTTGTAAACCTCTATCATGTCACCCCCTAACTCTTCGCCTTTCCAGTGAATGCAATTTAAGCTTTGTTAATCTTTGTTAATCAGTTCAGTTTTGGTCGCTGTACTATAGAATGGATATAAATTCACTTGAACGTGTAAAGCGTAGGATGACAAAGTTAATTCCCCAAACTAGAAATCTTCCATATGAAGAAAGATTAACAAAGCTTAAATTGCATTCACTGGAACGGCGAAGAATTAGGAGCCAATTACCGCGTAACGTGGTGGAGGTGGGGTCCCTCGATTGTTTTAAACGTGAGTTGGACATGTATATAAGTGGGATTGAGTGGTTATAAATAGGAGCTGCCTCCTATGGGCCAATAAGCCTTCTGTAGTTTCTTTAGTATTAATATCTTGTGTTAAGTAATCAAACAGCTCCTTCATCCATGACCCGCCTGTGTTGGGATCAAGCACTTCCACCTCACCTCTCTACATATTGGTGAGGTGAGGGTACGTGGACCCCGACACATATATATAACAGAACATCAAGGAAATCATTCATTAACCAATCTGCACCATTCGCTGTTCTCTTGAAGATTATTCGGCCTTATAATTTACTTCTGGGAGAAAGTTGCATGTTCTAGTTACTGTTCGAACACTAGACACCACTCCACATTATAGATAAATATTTAGTCGTTGTTGTGAACACAATTATGAGTACCTCTTATAAAGATTACGAAGACGTTATTGACATATTCACTCAACTTGACAATCTTTCGAAAGAGAGTGATGTGTCTGTCACGACTCATCCTCTGCATGAGGAGACTGAGGAACAAGGCGCCAGAATGCTGCGGTACATTGGTGAGACGTCAGCAGTGTGTCCCAAGGAGTCTGGGCAAGAATTTACACTACTGAAGCCTGTGGAAGACACTGGTGAGAAGTTAGAAGACTCATCCTCTGTCACGACTTATCCTCTGCATGAGGAGACTGAGGAACAAGGCGCCAGTATGTTGAGGTACATTGGTGAGACGTCAGCAGTGTGTCCCAAGGAGTCTGGGCAAGAATGGCCTGTGGAAGACTCTGGTGAGAAGTTAGAAGACTACAACGACTTACTGCATGAGGAGACTGAGGAACAAGGCGCCAGTATGTTGAGGTACATTGGTGAGACGTCAGCAGTGTGTCCCAAGGAGTCTGGGCAAGAATTTACAAAGGACTCTGGTGAGAAGTTAGAAGTGAGTCCCAAGTATGGGGAAGGATCTACAGTACTGAGGAGACGAAGGGCTGTACATAGTGGTGAGAAGTCAAGTGAGTCCCAAGTATGGGGAAGGATCTACAGTACTGAGGAGACGAAGGGCTGTCCATAGTGGTGAGAAGTCAGAAGAGAGTCCCAAGTATGGGGAAGGATCTACAGTACTGAGGAAAAGGAGGGCTGTACAAAGTGGTGAGAAGTCAGAAGAGAGTCCCAAGTATGGGGAAGGATCTCCACTACCGAAGAAACGGAGGGCGGTACGTAGTGGTATGAAGCCTACGTTATGTGACCGGTATCCTGGTGAGAAGTCAGAAGTATTTCCCAAGTCTGGCCAAGAATTTCCACTACTTAAGACTGTGGAACAAGGCAGGCTGGGGCATACTGGTGAGAAGTTAGAAGCGTGTCCAGAGTCCGGGGAAAGATCTACACTACTGAAGAAGCAAATGGTGGCAGATAGGCCGTCATGTTACCAGTGTGGGAAAACCTTCAGCGACCGCAGTGGCTTAAACAGGCACATGCTCGTCCATACTGGCGTTAAATCTCACGTGTGTGAAGAGTGTGGGAAAAAGTTCCTTCGAAATGATTATTTGCAGCAGCACCTGATGGCCCACAGTGGTGATAAACACTTCCTGTGCAAGCACTGCGGGAAAAGATTCTGCCGACTTGGCAACTTGAATGATCACATGATGGGACATAATGGTGCGAGACCTCACATGTGTCATGTGTGTGATAAACTATTCAGCAGACCGGACTATCTGAAGGACCACATGGTGGTTCATATGATTTGATGACAAACCTTACATGTGCCCACACTGTGGGGATAGATACACTCAGCTTGGAAATATGAACAAACACATTCAGCTGCATACAACTGTGCTCGGTGTGTGAGAATTTTGAAATATTGTATAAATAGTGAGAGCCTAATCTCAAAATTAGGCTACAATGTTCCTGTTAATAAACTTTCAAATTTACTGCAATTTGCCTATTAATATTCTTAAAATTTTCCTACAATGTACCTATTATTATTCAAATTTGGTACATATTATTAACTTATAATTATTTGTTAGATTAAGGACCTGTCCGAAATGTTGTGTGTTAGTGATGTTAAAAACATCAATGTTATATACTTACAAACCCAATGCACCTTCTTGCACTAGTATATAAATAAATGAAAAATAAAAAGGACATATGGTTTAAATATATATCTATTTATTTACAAGAATATTTTATTTACAATATTTACAAGAATAAATATTGTGATTTTATCCTGTAATGAAATCATATCCTAAACTAACTAATCAGTATAATGAACAAATCTACAATGACCGTAATAAGGATTTGAACCTACACACGGGATGTTCCCAGAAGCGCCTTAGTCAACTGTACCACCACATGGTCAAAAGAATGAGTCACAATAATGTGGCTGAAGTAGTTCGTCACAATCGACTTGAGAATGGTCCAGGACGGACCGAAATGTCGTCGTCCCTTCACCTTCTAGTGATTTTATACTTTTCAAACTAGATCATCCATATTATTCCAGTATACATAAGAAACTTCTTCATTTGCATTGGAATAATTAATACATAATCTAGCTTAACCTAGCTAACAGCCAATATCTATATATCTAAGTGAACAAATTGTTTACTGTGGCCAATCATATCCATTTCCTAGTAAGCATTCATAACATACTAGTAACAGTTCTGTCAAAAACCACAGTACTCAGTACAATCTTACAGACACAACTATATCTTATTTCACATATATATATATATATATCATTATATTCACTTGTGGAAGTATATGATATATAATATTATATAAACACTTTGAGTATTATCCAGATAATTATTATCATAATGACTGACTTCAGAGCTGCTCTGAAAATATCTATCTTTAAAGATACTCTTTAAAAGTGTTTTTAACACAGTAAGAATATTTCATTACAATATTACCTATATTAACTGTAGTAAACCCTATTGTCAAATCATTAGGCATTTCTACAGGATTTTATCAACCCCCTACTAGGGTAATATATCTTGTAATAATTTTGCAAAAAATATTGCCATTTACTATTTTTAAATAGTTAATTAATTTATTTCGGATGAAAACCAATTTTTACACTTGACAATTCTTACCTATAAGTGACAATACACTTGACTTTCAGCTCCTGCTATATCCAGATTCCAGGGAGGAAAGGACTTCCTTTCCTCCCTGAAAGAATTCCAGGGAGGTAATGATCTTTGGAATCATTACCTAATTAGACAGGAATAAAATATTCCTGACAATCATTCCTTCAATGATTCCTGTAATCAAAAAATATAATATCTTGGAAAAGTCAAAGAAAAAAGTTTAGTGTCAAGGACACTAAAGTGTCTACAAAATCACTTAACTCAACAGCTTGACAGATGTCAAGAGTTAGCTAATCAGGTATCTCTTGATTTAATCATCTTGAATAACAGGGTCAATGCTGCAGTTGATAAATTTGATAAAATCAATTGCCATGCAGAGATTTATCTAACAGAGATGGCTAATGCTGATTTAACCCGAAGGAAACTTCAGGATATCAGAGCTGAAACAGCAATTATGAAAATATAATTCAGGATCGTCTAGATCAATTAATCAGACTTGCAGTAGCACAACCAAATGTGAGCACATCCACTCAGTTTGGTACCTTAACTATCCCACATATAGCAGCCGAGCTCCCAAAAGTACATTTACCATATTTGGGGCAGAGCTGAAGAAAATGGGATGCCTTCTGGAGAGCTTTTGATTGGCAGATAAATAACTTTCTTATTCTAATAATAAATTCTAAGGTTCTCTCAACAAGACCACTAAATTTCTATATCTACAAGCAAGGCCTCTTAAAAAAAGAGAGAGGTCTGGCAGATCATTGAAATTTTGATCAGCTGAGTAAGGTGCTCAATCTAAGGAATCTACACACGGGAACATCCCGGGTGTAGATTCGAACCCTCATCACGGCCCTTGTGGGCCATGATGAGGGAATATTGTGAATGAGGTTCAGAATAATATATGGTTGTTACTGTAAGTGGAGTTTGGTCCTGTGATATAGTTTACGTCATAACTTACCAGGCAAAAATAAATGATTTACAAATATATCACTTGCATGAAATAAATTTACAGATTTACTTCTAGAAGCGTTAGCAATCGAAAGACTGCTTGTATATCAAGATTCAGCAATTGAAGATTGTTGTAGATTATACAGTTCACTTTTGGTCGTAAAGTCACCAGATAGTGCTAACCCCACAAATAAAAAATCTTCCTTGTGAAGAGATTGAAAAAGCTTAATTTACATTCTCTTGGAAGGTGAAGAGTTAAGGGTTAAATTTAGATCAAGATATTACTCTGGGTAAGGGACTATGAATGGTGAAGTTCATTACAAAATGTTTTCCACACACATTCCCACATATTATAACGCTCTGCACACACTTAACAATATTACATAATATGACTTTAAACATATTATATAATATGTTTAAAGTCACTAAATAGAGATAATAATCGACTAATAATTGATAATAATGATGAGCGGGTGATGAATGAGGAGGGGAAGATGTGTGCAGGGGACACTTACCCGGCCACCACGATGAAAAGATCCAGTCTGTTCCAGGAGTCAGCCATGTAAGCCCCTTTCCCAGACCACCCCATCGCCACCATCTTGATCACCATCTCCACGGCGAAGAAGGCAAAGATTGCGTCGTCGAACATCTGTGGAAGGTGTTCCACCATCACCACCAGCACTATTACAACCACCTCTATTATACATTATATATTATTACATATATATTATATATTAACATACTAAACAATCTGGAGGATGTTGATCCGGACATTTTCTTCAAAAGATCAGCTGTAACATGAACGAGGAACAACGGGTTCCAGCTCAACAAGCAACATTGTAGGACTGAGAACAGCAGATGCTTTTTCACCCATGGGGTTGTAAACCCGCGGAACCGCCTACCCGCTGAAACCGTAAACGCTAAAAATCTGGCGTTTTAAAATACAGCTAGAAAAGATAAGGGAAAATGGGGGGGGGCCTTTGACAAGCCGCCGGCTTCCTGTCCTCGTCGAGATCACTAGTATTAGTGGCCCTCAGGTAAGGTATATATAAAAATAACATCGTATCCCATGCTGGAGTTCTTATTTACTGACACTTATTATTATTTAAGATATTTCTTAAACCCATTTAAACAATGGGTATAAATTGGATTAGTTTAGATTTAGGAAAAACCTGGGTAAATACTGGTTCGGTAACAGGGTTGTTGATTTGTGGAACCAATTATGCACAACGTTTCAGGCAAGATAAATACTTTTTTTGATTTTATACTTTTCTATGTCTAAGTGCTCATGCTCCTTGCTTCCTTACACCCATGGTTAAGCCATAGGTTGGTCTTATGCCTTCTATTCTCTTCTCTCCGGAGAGGGACAAATTGGCCGGCTGTCTCCCAACATTTCTCGTTGAAGAAGTCCAATATTTCCAGTAGCGACCGCCGCCTGAGTTCTGTCTCCAGTGGCATCTTTGACAGCTCTCTCATTTCTTTTTCCAACGATATGCCAACCTTTTACCCTTTGCCCGTTTTCTTAAAGAGTGCATGTCACCTTTCACAAGATGCTAACATGCCACTCTTAGTGATGTCTCACCGAGTTACACTTATAGGTGAAGTATGGCTCGTTCTTCTTTACCATAATGTCACATGGGTCCACTGACCTGATAAGGAAAACTGGTGTTTTTAATCTTTTTAAAAATGGTTTAATTAATTAATCCTGTAGGTAGCAGTTGCGGGAACAGGTCAATAAGGTCAAAGGTTCTTCCAGGAACACGACCTTTGCCAAATGCGGAACACAGTCCCCCAAGCCTCCCATCAACCAGTACAGCCTCCCATCAACCAGTACAGCCTCCCATCAACCAGTACAGCCTCCCATCAACCAGTACAGCCTCCCATCAACCAGTACAGCCTCCCATCAACCAGTACAGCCTCCCATCAACCAGTACAGCCTCCCATCAACCAGTACAGCCTCCCATCAACCAGTACAGCCTCCCATCAACCTGTACAGCCTCCCATCAACCAGTACAGCCTCCCATCAACCAGTACAGCCTCCCATCAACCAGTACAGCCTCCCATCAACCAGTACAGCCTCCCATCAACCAGTACAGCCTCCCATCAACCAGTACAGCCTCCCATCAACCAGTACAGCCTCCCATCAACCAGTACAGCCTCCCATCAACCAGTACAGCCTCCCATCAACCAGTACAGCCTCCCATCAACCAGTACAGCCTCCCATCAACCAGTACAGCCTCCCATCAACCAGTACAGCCTCCCATCAACCAGTACAGCCTCCCATCAACCAGTACAGCCTCCCATCAACCAGTACAGCCTCCCATCCTTCATCAGCTGCTTGGTGACCTGCAAAGGCCTTTAAAACATCTAGACATGAACCGAAGACACCCTACACGACCCCAAGACACCCTACACCACCCCAAGACACCCTCCACGACCCCAAGACACCCTACATGACCCCAAGACACTCTACACGACCCCAAGACACATTCCACCACCCCAAGACACCCTACATGACCCCAAGACACTCTACACCACCCCAAGACATTCTACACGACCCCAAGACACCCTACATGACCCCAAGACACTCTACACCACCCCAAGACATTCTACACGACCCCAAGACACCCTACACCACCCCAAGACACCCTACACCACCCCAAGACACCCTACACCACCCCAAGACACCCTACACCACCCCAAGACACCCTCCACCACCCCAAGACACCCTACATGACCCCAAGACACTCTACACGACCCCAAGACACCCTACACGACCCCAAGACACCCTACACGACCCCAAGACACCCTACACGACCCCAAGACACCCTACACGACCCCAAGACACCCTCCACGACCCCCAAGACACCCTACACGACCCCAAGACACCCTACACGACCCCAAGACACTCTACACGACCCCAAGACACTCTACACGACCCCAAGACACCCTACACCACCCCAAGACACCCTACACCACCCCAAGACACCCTACACCACCCCAAGACACCCTACACCACCCCAAGACACCCTACACCACCCCAAGACACCCCTACACCACCCCAAGACACCCCTACACCACCCCAAGACACCCTACACCACCCCAAGACACCCTACACCACCCCAAGACACCCTACACCACCCCAAGACACCCTCCACGACCCCCAAGACACCCTACACCACCCCAAGACACCCTCCACCACCCCAAGACTCCCTCCACGACCCCCAAGACACCCTCCACAACCCCCAAGACACCCTCCACAACCCCCAAGACACCCTCCACAACCCCCAAGACACCCTCCACGACCCCCAAGGAAGCAGCAGTAGCCAGCAGGACTCACCTGGAGTATCTTGCAACGGTTGGTGGAGCAGACCTCGTCGACACAGGGCTGGTACATGCCCAGCGTCACACAGTTCAAGAGGATGACGAACATGCTGACTCGCTCGAACCACGTGATCAGCTGAGTTAAGGAAAGTTGCAGGTGAAGATGAGGAGGGTGTCTGGTGGCCACGGTACACTTCCTGTGACACCTTCTCTGGACGACTGGACACTCAACATGAGACGTCTTATACGTGCGTCAGGGGCGTCTTATACATGCGTCAGGGGCGTCTTATACATGCGTCAGGGGCGTCTTATACATGCGTCAGGGGCGTCTTATACGTGCGTCAGGGGCGTCTTATACATGCGTCAGGGGCGTCTTATACGTGCGTCAGGGGCGTCTTATACATGCGTCAGGGGCGTCTTATACGTGCGTCAGGGGCGTCTTATACGTGCGTCAGGGGCGTCTTATACGTGCGTCAGGGGCGTCTTATACGTGCGTCAGGGGCGTCTTATACGTGCGTCAGGGGCGTCTTATACATGCGTCAGGGGCGTCTTATACATGCGTCAGGGGCGTCTTATACGTGCGTCAGGGGCGTCTTATACGTGCGTCAGGGGCGTCTTATACATGCGTCAGGGGCGTCTTATACATGCGTCAGGGGCGTCTTATACGTGCGTCAGGGGCGTCTTATACGTGCGTCAGGGGCGTCTTATACGTGCGTCAGGGGCGTCTTATACGTGCGTCAGGGGCGTCTTATACGTGCGTCAGGGGCGTCTTATACGTGCGTCAGGGGCGTCTTATACATGCGTCAGGGGCGTCTTATACGTGCGTCAGGGGCGTCTTATACATGCGTCAGGGGCGTCTTATACGTGCGTCAGGGGCGTCTTATACGTGCGTCAGGGGCGTCTTATACGTGCGTCAGGGGCGTCTTATACATGCGTCAGGGGCGTCTTATACGTGCGTCAGGGGCGTCTTATACGTGCGTCAGGGGCGTCTTATACATGCGTCAGGGGCGTCTTATACATGCGTCAGGGGCGTCTTATACGTGCGTCAGGGGCGTCTTATACGTGCGTCAGGGGCGTCTTATACGTGCGTCAGGGGCGTCTTATACGTGCGTCACGGGCGTCTTATACTTGCGTCAGGGGCGTCTTATACGTGCGTCAGGGGCGTCTTATACATGCGTCAGGGGCGTCTTATACATGCGTCAGGGGCGTCTTATACGTGCGTCAGGGGCGTCTTGTACGTGCGTCAGGGGCGTCTTATACATGCGTCAGGGGCGTCTTATACATGCGTCAGGGGCGTCTTATACGTGCGTCAGGGGCGTCTTATACGTGCGTCAGGGGCGTCTTATACATGCGTCAGGGGCGTCTTATACGTGCGTCAGGGGCGTCTTATACGTGCGTCAGGGGCGTCTTATACATGCGTCAGGGGCGTCTTATACATGCGTCAGGGACTTACAGCAGGGTAGGGCGGGGGGGGGGGCTAAGGGTATGGGTACATTTAGCTACACTTTAGTAAAATAATATGCACCATTAGTCACCATCATCACGTCACCACCAGCAATATATAGCCACCTTGGTAATCACTAACATGTCACTATCATTGTTATCACCAACTACTGCCAACTATATCATCAACACAACCTTCATCACCATCATAACTCACCATCATCATCAACAGTCACCATCATCATAACTCACCATCATCATTGTAACTCACCACCATCATTGTAACTCACCATCATCATAACTCACCATCATCATCATTGTAACTCACCATCATCATAACTCACCACCATCATCATTGTAACTCACCACCATCATCATTGTAACTCACCACCATCATCATCATTGTAACTCACCATCATCATTGTAACTCACCATCATAACTCACCATCATAACTCACCACCATCATCATTGTAACTCACCACCATCATCATTGTAACTCACCACCATCATCATTGTAACTCACCATCATCATAACTCACCATCACCACCATCACTGTAACTCACTACCACCATCATTGTTACCATCATTGTTACTCACCATCATCATAACTCACCACTATCATCATCGTAACTCACTATCATCGTAACTCACCATCATCATAACTCACCATCACCACCATCACTGTAACTCACTACCACCACCATCATTGTTACTCACCATCATTGTTACTCACCATAATCATAACTCACCACTATCATCATCGTAACTCACCATCATCGTAACTCACCACCACCGTCACCATCATTGTAACTCACCACCACCGTCACCATCATTGTAACTCACCACCACCGTCACCATCATTGTAACTCACCATCATTGTAACTCACCATCACCATCATTGTAACTCACCGTCACCATCATTGTAACTCACCGTCACCATCATCGTAACTCACCACCACCGTCACCATCCTCATGGCCATCGTTGTCGATATCCCTGAAATAATAAGAAAAAAATATTATTACTGATTTTGAGAAAGAGAGAGAGACAGAGAGCGAGAGAGAGCGAGAGCGAGAGAGACAGCGAGAGACAGAGAGCGAGAGAGAGACAGAGCGAGAGAGAGACAGAGCGAGAGAGAGACAGAGCGAGAGAGAGACAGAGCGAGAGAGAGACAGAGCGAGAGAGAGACAGAGCGAGAGAGAGACAGAGCGAGAGAGAGACAGAGCGAGAGAGAGAGCAAGAGACAGAGAGCGAGAGAGAGAGAGCGAGAGAGAGAGAGAGCGAGAGAGAGAGAGAGCGAGAGAGAGAGAGAGAGAGAGAGAGAGAGACAGAGCGAGAGAGAGCTCTATACAGTCACCATCTAGTCATACAAACTGCACGTTTACATCAACAACAACAACAACAAGACGCCATCTATAATTAAAATTTCATCTTTTATTTCAAGTTTATGAAGAGTTGGGTATTAACAGCGGACAGGAAGAATGCTTTTGTTAAGATGCTAATGGCAGATGTGCATGGATTAAACAGAGCTCTAGAGAGCCACTGGTCCACTCTACAGCTGGTGCCTGCCTCTACATGAAGCACTACAACACGTGTTAGAGAGCCACTGGTCCACTCTACAGCTGGTGCCTGCCTCTACATGAAGCACTACAAGACGTGTTAGAGCGCCACTGGTCCACTCTACAGCTGGTGCCTGCCTCTACATGAAGCACTACAAGACGTGTTAGAGCGCCACTGGTCCACTCTACAGCTGGTGCCTGCCTCTACATGAAGCACTACAACACGTGTTAGAGAGCCACTGGTCCACTCTACAGCTGGTGCCTGCCTCTACATGAAGCACTACAACACGTGTTAGAGAGCCACTGGTCCACTCTACAGCTGGTGCCTGCCTCTGCATGAAGCACTACAACACGTGTTAGAGAGCCACTGGTCCACTCTACAGCTGGTGCCTGCCTCTGCATGAAGCACTACAACACGTGTTAGAGAGCCACTGGTCCACTCTACAGCTGGTGCCTGCCTCTACATGAAGCACTACAACACGTGTTAGAGAGCCCCTGGTCCACTCTACAGCTGGTGCCTGCCTCTACATGAAGCACTACAACACGTGTTAGAGAGCCCCTGGTCCACTCTACAGCTGGGGCCTGCCTCTGCATGAAGCACTACAACACGTGTTAGAGAGCCACTGGTCCACTCTACAGCTGGTGCCTGCCTCTGCATGAAGCACTACAACACGTGTTAGAGAGCCACTGGTCCACTCTACAGCTGGTGCCTGCCTCTGCATGAAGCACTACAACACGTGTTAGAGAGCCCCTGGTCCACTCTACAGCTGGTGCCTGCCTCTACATGAAGCACCTCAACACGTTGCATTCCTCTGGTGGAGTGACTCCTGGTGGAGCCCCGAGTCCGTCTTGCTCCGTAATATTACCTCACACAGCTGACATTATAAACACACCTTTATAAACGGCCAGTAATGACACTATGTAAATGTTACCTGGAGCACTGTATGAAGGACAGACCCAAGTGTGTACTGATCTAGTGTTTATCCCGGGATTCAAAACCAGAAATTCCAGATTGTGGGAATTATTATTAATTCTCGCAGTTAATGCTTATGACGCTTGTTAGTTCAGGATCATCGGCTGACTTTGTAAGGTGTATTAGGGTAAGCCTGTGTGTGTGTACTCACCTAGTTGTGGTTGAGGGGGTTGAGCTCTGGCTCTTTGGTCCCGCCTCTCAACTGTTACTATTATTTTTTCCACGCGCACACACGCACACACGCACACACGCACACACACGCACACGCACGCACACACACACACACACACGCACACGCACGCACACACACAGGAAGCAGCCCGTAAAAGCTGGCTAACTCCCAGGTACCTATTTACTGCTAGGTAACAGGGGCATCACAATGAAAGAAACTCTGCCTTTTTTTTTGTTTCTCGCCGGCGCCGGGAATCGAACCCGGGCCACAGGATTAGGTATCCAGCGTGCTATCCAGGGAGCCACCGGCGCCCTAGGGGTGTGCGCGCGCGCTTAAAACACAAGTGCGGATAAAAACCAACAAAAGAGTGAAGTAGGATAATAAACGGCAAGTGTTGGTTGTGTGGGCACGAGGTTATTGTACTAATGGCCAGTAATTGGTTTAGTGGTCAGTTTGGTGAAGTATCCCCTCGTGGGTCGCTTGGCCACCCGTCCTGACCTCTGTGTTCTGTCGCACACACCATGTTACACAGCCCTCACACTCACACTACTGACCCGTGACCTTGCCCAGGATTACTTGACCCTGGGCGGAACCCTTTGACCTTGGCCAGGATTACTTGACCCTGGGTGGAACCCTTTGACCTTGGCCAGGATTACTTGACCCTGGGTGGAACCCTTTGACATTGGTCAGGATTACTTGACCCTGGGTGGAACCCTTTGACCTTGGCCAGGATTACTTGACCCTGGGTGGAACCCTTTGACCTTGGTCAGGATTACTTGACCCTGGGTGGAACCCTTTGACCTTGGCCAGGAGTCCTTGACTCTGGGTGGAACCCTTTGACCTTGGTCAGGAGTCCTTGACCCTGGGTGGAACCCTTTGACCTTGGCCACCGGTTAACCACGGTTTGAACTATGCCTGCAAGCTGTTAGGCTTTCTGGTGATATTAAATCGCTCCTTTCTCACTTGCGTTCAACCCATCCACTTGGGCTGGATGATAGAGCGACGGTCTCGCTTCATACAGGTCTGCGTTCAATCCCCGACCGTCCAAATGGTTGGGCACCGTTCTTTTTCTCACCGTCCCATCCCGAATCTTTATCCTGATTCCTTCCCAGTGCTATATAGTCGTAATGGCTTGGCGCTTCTCCTGATAATTCCCTCCCTCCAGTGTATGCCCCTCATCTTCGCTGTGTACGGAGGTGCCCCATCGTTAGTCTCCCCGGAGAGCGTAAAAACATCTTCGTTTCTATGGTAGTCAGGTGTCGCTGGTGTCTCTAGTTCCCTAGAGTCTTCGTAGTGTCTGGGTGGAGTAGCACTGTGGGCGTCTGGTGCCTGCGGCAGGTTGTCCGGCCTCCGAGAGGCGCTCAACACGCTAGCAACCTACACCCTCATTCACGAAGCACTTACGCAAGTACTTACGAACGTGTACATCTTCCCTCAATCTTTGACGGCTTTGGTTACATTTATTAAATAGTTTACAAGCATGAAAACTTGCCAATCAACTGTTGTTATTGTTATAAACAGCCTCCTGGTGCTTCGGAGCTCATTAACTGTTTAATAATTTTAAACAAAGCCGCCAAAGTTTGAGAAAAGATGTACAGGTTCGTAAGTGCTTGCGTAACTACTACGTGAATCTGGCCCCAACACCTTACATGCCAACGTCTCTAACTCCGCCACCGGTCAACAGATGGCGCTCAAGTACCCGGGGGTTGCCACACACCACACATCACTCAACTCCTCTTCATATCCTCATCCCCCATCACAATCGTCTCTGTTTTCCCTATTAAATTATCCTGTTAAAAAGTAATCCCCGAAAATGGAGGGGAACAATTTTTTGGGGGAGCAGAATACTTTTGGTGAAGGGCATCCAAACCCGATATTAATCCGCCAGAGTGTAGTGGCTGACCGGCGCGGCTCCACACTCCCAAAGTGGCAATGGAAGCCGTTCGACTCTTGCTGTAAATATCTCTATGTATTGTAATATCTCTATGTAAATATCTATATGTATTTATGACAGTGTCAGACCACGGAGGAAAATTGAAACAGGAATTTCCATAAGTACTTTCGTATATTAATACATCTTCAGAAGCAGCACTCCTTCTGAAGATGTATTAATATACGAAAGTACTTAAGGAAATTCCTGTTTCAGTTTTCCTCCGTGGTCTCACACTGTCACATTTTTAATCACGTGTTTATTTTTCGTGATTTAAACACACATGTATTTATGTATATGTCATTATATGTATGTAGGTATTTATGTACCTAATAGCCAGAACGTACTACTTGGTCTAGTATGCAACGCTCGATTTGCCTAACAGGCAAAGTGATTTCCGTCAATTTCTTAAAAAAAATCGAATTCGTATATTTAAATTAATATTATTATATTATATAAAGAACATGAATTAGTGACTTAGGTGAGGGGAGGCTAGGTTACCTTTAGTCATATCTTCGTTACTTTTAACTCAAATACCAAATAAAAATATTATGAATGGAATGTTTAGGAAAAAATGGAAAACGGATATAAATAAAAAAAATGAAAAAAATGAAAGCTTTATCATTGCAAGAGGATAAAGTTTAGTGAGGGATTGTGAGAGTGAAGAGCTGCACTGACCACTGGGATCCACACACACACACACACACACACACACACACACACACACACACACACACACACACACACACACAGAGGTTGTGGAAGCAAATACTATTCATACTTTTAAAGCTAGGTATGATAGGGAAATGGGACAGTCATTGCTGTAAACAACCGATAGCTGGAAAGGCGGGATCCAAGAGTCAATGCTCGATCCTGCAAGCACAAATAGGTGAGTACACACACACACACACACACACAGCTAAACACAGATGCCGAAGAAATATAAGAAAATTCACCTTCGCAAATAGAGTGGTAGACGGTTGGAACAAGTTAAGTGAGAAGGTGGTGGAGGCCAAGACCGTCAGTAGTTTCAAAGCGTTATATGAGAAAGAGTGCTGGGAAGACGGGACACCACGAGCGTAGCTCTAATCCTGTAACTACACTTAGGTAATTACACACACACACACACACACACACACACACACACACACACACACACACTGACGGTTGAGAGGCGGGACCAAAGAGCCAGAGCTCAACCCCCGCAAACACAACTAGGTGAGTACAACTAGGTGAGTACACACACACCCTTCCGGTCAGTGATCGACATGGATGAAGTACAGAACAACATGGATAGTGGTGTAATACACCCGGTGATCACCCAGTCCGTCCTCCTAAGGTCTCCCAACGTCAAGAAACTGTCCT